GATGGCATTATTTTGGGCAACTGCATGGTTGTTATAATTGGCTGTTTAATTAAAAAGAAGCGTAATTGCAGTAATCTGATTATGCCAAAAACATCCTTATCACTAAATAAAGAATTTTGTTTGGTTTAAGGTGAATAATAGTTGAATCACAGACAAAAATTTAGGTTTTCATGCATTTTTGTCATTTTCAAAGGAATTCTGGAAAATGGCGCTATTCATTAAAAATCCGACATTAATATTTCAAAGTGCTTTTGATAAGTTACAATTAACATCTGTTCTGACAGATTTCAATATGTCCATTCGAAATAGTATTATGCAGAAGACAGAATATGCAAAAATGCTGACATCTTGTAAAATTAAAAGTTGTCTGTCCTCGACCTTTCGTTGTGATTTGACGGAAACTGCACCATACGACTTTTTGACGACCAGGCAAAAAAGATAGTACAGATGTTGTGCTTTCGAATGGTATATGATTTAGCCGTATTTTAGGTGGGTGCATTAAAAATAAAATTTTATGGTTAATGTCACTCGTCTAATAGAAAAAAGTAAAATAGCAAATATACCGAAATCCAAGGACTATTCAAATAGGAATGTCCCTTATCAAATGGCAAAATCAAAAGCTCAAACACATCAAACGAATGTAAAAAGCTGTCAAATTTCTGTTGTTCTCAAAACAGTTTTGATTGACTACCTATTGAATAAAGTTTTAGATGATCCATAAATGGATAAGTTTACAAAGATATAATCGAAGTTTAAATGATTCTAGTATACATATAAAAAAAAACATAACCGTAAAAAATAAGAAGATCTTTTTCGTTTAAAGTAGGGTTTTTACGTGTACCGCTCAACACCCAAGCCACATCTTTGTATCTTTGAAATAATTAAGTAAAGGATTTATTCAATGTTATCAATAAAATCATTGTCTTAATATTTTACAAGTTGTATGATGACAAAAATACGTCGCTACAGATAAAGTCTCAGTAAACAGATTGTAAAATATAATATATGGCAAAAAGAACATTCCAGTCCCATTAAAGTTAAAATTTTGGCGTACATAGTGTGTAGATATTTTCATGTGAAACTTAAATATCTTATTAAATGACAGATTTTTATGTTTATATTACATTCATTAATATAATTTTCCTTTGGTAAAGCTCGGCAGTGTACATTGTATAGAATTCTAGATTTTTCAACACTATACTATCATCCAGATAACAGTAATTGCTTTGAACTTATCAAATGAATAGAAATAAGACGGATTATTCTTGAGTTAAATCATAAACTGTGATTCATAAAAAAATACACAGCAAATCTGCTTTTGAAGCGGCCAAATTAGTACACATAGTCATGCAAATAATACATGTATGTCGATTAACTTTATTGCCGATAAATGCAGATATTTGGTCATTAAAAAACGTTACTAATTTATTATATCTCACCTCACTTCCAGTGGAAAAGTTCAAATCAAAATACAAAACTCGAAAGTGAATCAAAGTGAATTCAAAAAAGGGACCTCAATCAAAACTGACAATATCTAACAAATTCTCACAAAATCGAACATTAAAGTTTAAAAAACAAACCCAACGAATCGAAAACAACCATTTGATTTTGATTTTGCCGTTTGATTAACATGATTAGGGACTTTTCGTTTTGAATTTTCTTCAGAGTTTTTTTGTGATTATATTTTCTGCTATATTCTTGACTTTGTATACTAGGCATTTTCCAATGAAAATGATGGTATAAACCTGGATTTATATCTAGTAGTTTAAAACATGCTATCCATTTGGTCTTGCATTCTGTCGAAATTTAAATTTTGGTATTGCCCAAGGTCATGTATTACTCTAACTCTGTAAACTTATTGTGGCTGAAGTGTAACGACGGACTGATACTTTATAGTAACAAAATAAACGTAAATTTAACGGTTAAACACTCCCTTACACGTCTTACCCCACCACATTCCTTATGTTCTTTAACCAAGCTAAGAGGTTAATGTCGCAGAGCTGTCCATGATTTTACCGTCTGTCATAATTGCTTTGCGTTCAATGTAGTACCTCAAATCCTTACTTGAGTTTTCACGTCTAAATTGTTAACACTGTGTTATCTCTATCTATATCGTTCCAGAAATTCCTAGAGTAATTCAACAACCGACTCTTCATTTCTCGATGCTATGACGATAAGCTCTATTGTCTGTAGGTATTTTATTCTTAATTTTCGTAATGAATCTACGAAGCAATATGTTCTTCTAAAAAGACTATCAAATCTTATTTTGTAATATTTACGAACGCCTAAATTATTTGGTTGTCCTTACGTAAAAATATATGTCACGAACATTTTCCTTTTTGGTTTTCTCGAAACAAAGTTCTACTTTGCTCGCTTATGATTTACCCGAATAAGCGATGCGACGTTTTTTTGACACATTTATACTTGTCATAAGCACACCACTTGGTTGTATAGGAGGTATTTATTGCTCAAATCTTACTTTTCTGTTCTTTCTTACTCTCCTGTTTTGCTACAGTTTGTTTTTGTTTATTCTTATTCTTTTCTACTGCTGGTTGTCCATTAAAATTTTCATATTTATGGCTTAATCACTTACCCATGTTACTATCAAAAAATTGTGAACATTTCTTTTGACTTTGTTACAAGAATGATAGAAGTTGGATGGTCATTATGGGATATCTGTTTCACAGATGACGACGGATATGTTCCACTTTTCGCAACAACAATCCTGTCCCCTTTTTCTCCGAATTTAACATAACCAATTACATTTATCACCGGGTTTGTAATTATATGAGAAACACGACGGATGCCACATCTGGAGCAGGATCTGCTTACCATTCCGGGACACCTACGATCACTCCCAGGTTTTGGTTAGGTTCGTGTTGCAGAGTCATTAGTTTTATATGTTTGGTTTTGTGTACTGTTGTTTGTCTGTTTGTCTTTTTCATATTTAGCCATGGCGTTGTCAGTTTATTTTCAACTAACGAGTTTGTTTGTCCCTTTTGGTGTATATCGTCTCGTTTTTATGCATGCGAAATTTGAACAATAAATTTGCTAATATGCTTGGTCTATATGCCATTTTGTGCTTCTTTGTTACATTTTTTTTTCATTTTGTAGTGATTAAGATTATAACACAATGTTGACTAATGTATTTTTGACATTTTTACCTATTATGTCTGTTTGTTTTATTCACGCATCGTTGTCAATATAATAGAATTTGATGCAACTGTCATACAAGTGAGAGGTTAAGCTAGCAAATCAAAAAAGGTTCAAACCACCATTTTCTACATAAGGAAATGCCTGTGCAAAGTCTGGAATATGAGAGTGGTGATCCATTCGTTAGATGTGTTTCATCTTTTGATATTGCCATTTGATTTGGACTTATATCTAGTAACTGACTATGATAGTCGGTTGAAAACAAAACTTTACGACAACAGAGATGATTTCAGCTTCCAAATTGTGAATTTTCATTTATAAACCAAGAGTTCTAAATAGTGAAGTTGAAATCATCACTTTGTTAATTTTACGGACGCTATCACAAGTTGGTTGACCGTTGTGGAGTGTCCGTTTCACAGATGATATCAGATATGTTCCTGCTGTCGTAACTACAATCCCGTCCCCTTTTCACGAATGTGACTTACCGAATTAGACTATTTACCGGCTTTGTAATAACACGAGCAACACGACGGGTGCCACGTGTGGAGCATGATCTGCTTACCCTTCCGGAGCACCTGAGATCACCTCAAGTTTTGGTGGGGTTCGTGTTGCTGTTGTAAACCTATTTGTGACATTTTAACTATTGTCTCTGTTTGTTTTGTTTACACATCGTTGTCAATATAATGCAATTTGATGCGACTATCATACAACATGTACAAGTGAGAGGTTTAGCTAGCTTTAAAACCAGGTTTAATCCACCATTTTCTACATAAGAAAATGTCTGTACCAAGTCAGGGATATGACAGTTGTTATCCATTCGTTTGATGTGTTTGGGCTTTTGATTTTGCCATTTGATTATAGGGACTTTCCGTTTTGAATTTTCCTCGGAGTTCAGTATTTTTGTGATTTTACTTTTTACATTGTCTGAAGGAAAGTTTTGGTTTTCAATGTTAGTTATAATTCCGATATCTGTGATGTGTTCATAATTGTTAAATTTATAGTTTCCGCAGGATTGCATACCTTTATTTTAGTATATTTTTAGTATAAAAATCTATACAAAATGCGTTTTAACTGAATACGGCAGTACTCTTTACAAGTTTATTATAATATATTTATTTTCTTCTTTCCAGGAAACATTAAAACAAAGGTCATCTTGTTATCTACATTGATTCCGTTAGCAACATGTATATTAGTTTTGGTAGGAGTTCTTGTTTTTGTGAAACGAAAACACATACTTAAAGGTAAAAAACATAACCTCCATAAATTATTTTTGTTGTGCTAGTATGTACCAAACGTAATCTTGTTTTAAGGCAGTGATATGTTTGGCAACATTAGTTAAACGAAATGAAGAGCTCGTCAATCCCTTTTAAGTATAAAACAATGCAATATATTGTTGCATCATCTGCGAAAATATTCTTTTTCCAAATACAGTCGAAAGTCATGTCAATATCAAAACATAATAAAATCAAAAAGTTCACTACAATTGCATTTTAAGAAATGTTCTTATCTCTTTTATAACGATGTGTTTATTGTGGGTTTTTTTTTCTTAAAACTTACAGAAACTTACAGAAAATACTAATGTGTACGATGTATTATTTAAAAAGTATAAAATTATATGTACATTCAACTTAATATTTGACAGGCATTCTAGATAGTTCCAGTATGTAACATTAATTATATGTTATCAAATTCGAACGCAGATCCAGTAATATTATAGTGGGGTATCCAAGGGTTTCAAACAAATTTTGGACGATTTTTTATCTAAACTTAACAATTCAGATAAAGGATATGGATGGATACACACCCTGAAATTCCTCTGGAACCCCAAATTACCATGATTACCCTTATATAGTGATTTCTATTTCAAAAACAAAGGACAAGAACCAAATTAACGACACAAACAGGATTGAACGTGAAAATCTATTTCAATCAAAGTTTGAAGGTAAGTCATATAAAACATCATGTAAATTTAAAAAAAAACTAGTTCATTGCTCTACCTATTAAAACTATTACACATACTTCACTGCTCTGACATTGCGCACGGCGTGGGTTCAACAGATATTTTGTTAAATACTTGGGTATTGATGAAACAACTACTTGACTAAATAAAGGCAATAGTAGTATACCGCTTTTCTCTAGTCATGAATCGATTTAACTGAAACAAATCAGAATCACAAATAAAAAATGAGTGAAACACATCAACTATAAAAGAGCAAAAAAGTGAACAACAGAAATCACTGAACTGCTACAAAAAAACAAACGCCAACATACATAGAAACGAACTTATTGATAACAACTGCCATATTCCTAATTAGTACAGTATATTTTAAGAAAAATGGTGGGTTGAACCTGGTTTTATAGATAGCAATTTTAAAAATACCGCTAAAATTACAACATTACGTGACAGGAATACAGTACAAATGAATGTAAGGAAACTCAGGACAAAGAAATACATAAATGAGATCGATACAAATATTGGCATTCTGTTTTGAAAAGATTAAATAGCCAATCATGTGGTCGTCATCTTACGAATATATTAGATTGATATCGATTTCTGATGAATGTCAACTGAAGCTGGTGACATTTAATAATGCTTTGTCCAAAAATTTAAAACTATATATTTTAAACAAATTACGGCTGAAATATTGTTTATAGTTATTCTTTTTAACATTTTGATATTTCTATATCAGAATTTCCGAACTTTCATTATACGTAATTAATAAGTAGATTATACAATATTATCATTGGTATCAACTTTACTGCATTAGATGCCCAATTGTACAATTTATGTCTCTTCAGTGATGCTCGAGGCCAAAAAGTTTAAACGTTAAAGAGCTGTTAAACCTAAAAGAACCAAAGGTAAATCGACACATGGACAAATAATCAGAGCAATTGCTGAGGGAGATACTTTGCTCAATTAAAAAATGATTGCAAAATTTTGTAACAGCAAATTTAAAAAAAACAATAACCATTTGAAACTTTGCATTTGTTTCTTTGCAGGAGAATGCATTTCAAATAAAGAAAATTCTCAAACTGAAGCTACAGTCTAGTCTTGACTCCTGATTTTAAACTGGTACATGTAGAATGTGGCGGAGTTAAACATGTTAAAGAGAGGGGCAAAAGATACCAGAGGGACAGTCAAACATCGAAAATAAACTAACAACGCTATGACTAAAAAAGAAAAAGACAATAACAATTAAACACAACTGGCTTTTTTCTCGAATTGATCACAAATTAATTGTTATAATTGAATGTGGGCACAAATTTGAGGAATTACTTCCGACTATGGCAAGAGCACTGGTTTCGGTTTATTGGAATAAGAACTCTCTTTTGATATAGAGACGTTGTAGGAGATGTTTATTACAATGTGTGTAAAAGTAGTCTATTATCCAATTAAAGCGTTTCTTCACCCTCCTTGTTTGCTTGTGCTCATTTTTGTTTTAATGCTCCCGCAACTGAAAGTTGAGTCCGTTCTTCCGTCCGTCTATCCGTCCATTCTGTCGTCCCATTATGTGTATATAGTTGTTTCAGATACCTTCTCCTACAGTTTGAATGCTATGAAGTTTTCAATTTGCTGACTGTTTGAACATATATTGAAGGTATGCATGTGGTCAGTGTTTATATTTTATCAGTATTTGCTCTAATACAAGGTAACTGAACTTTGTCATTTTTGGTGTATATACTTGCATAAGAAGTGAAAAACGTTTCTGGATATCTCCTCCTACAGTGAACCATAGACCTATATGCTCCCTTGCTCAATTTTTATTTTTTATTTTCAAAAAAAAATTTACATCTGTTAGGGAACATTTATGTCTCCCCGACACAATAATATCTCAAAGAACTTTGTCTAGGTTTTAATTTGTTTCCATCTGCTCTTACAGTTTTATATTTATGATTAATATTGACAGAAGAATTGAAAACATATATATATTCATTGTGAGCTGATAAATTGTAATACTTTATGTATTTTTTTTTCAAGCACTCTAATGCGCACAACTATTGCCATATTTTTAAAATGATATTAAGATTTCAGACCTCCTTCGTTCCTTTTTTATATTTCTATCGAATACATCCGCATGATTTTCTCTCCTTTATCAAACTATACTTTACGTTAGTGTTTTACTTGCCGCAACTAAGCATTTTTATTGACTATGCTGAGCTCATCTTTTCTATTAAACACCAGATAGGGGATACCAGAAATTCATATCTTAACTTTCATCTTTAAATGAGAAAAACTTTCCTAGTTTCATATGCAAGCTCTGCAGAACTGTTAAGAATGCTAAAAGGAGGGAATGAAAGTTGTAGCCTAACAAAAAGGTGCGCTCAATTAATCTATTAAACTGAAACAAACATTCATACTTCAGGTATTGGTAGTGTAAGTCTAGTTATTTATATACCGAAAAGACTGACAAGATATTGAAAGTTAGCTGATACATGCCTTTTTTATCATATCTGCCATTTTATCATCTCAATATCTTGATAACTGAAAGAGTATTTGGACACAAACAACAAAAAAGACAAAAGCCACATAAAGGTTAACATATTATCTTCAACAAAAGACAAGTGTTTGTAGCATATCTCAAACTTTTACTTGAGTTGAAAAAAAAATGTTCATGACTAGTTGATTGATTGATAGATTGTAAGCCTCATTGTCATATAATATCTCTATCCATGGTAAAAAGGATGGTTATGGATGGCTATTTAACATCAACGAGCAAATAAAATGCTAATTCAGTGCACGCACATGAACATGATATGTGGCAGTTGTCGCTATATTATTTTAAGTAATCAAAAAAGATGGATCTACCGTTTTGCGTTCAGAATCAAAAATATTTAAGGTCATATGTTTTTTGTAAAATTTTGCAATAAACTTAGACACATTGAATTCAAACGTTAAATACTTTAAAATACAATGGTCTTGTGGGTCCTTTACTTATGCTTATATAATTTAAACATTGTGACATTGTGTTGATTAATATCGAGGACTGAATGTTGCCCTTCAAATGTCTTGAGGTAATTATTGTCCTTTATAAATGTGTCATTGCCATAAAAATCGTATCTCTTCTTTTTTTATTAATCTTCAACCTTCATGCATTATGTGGAATTAGAGGAAAACGTAAATTAAACTATTTTTGCGCATCATTCATTTGATTTAAACCGGTCCATATTCATCTATTAAATTATGTTACCAGATACAGTTTTATTAAATCAGATAACAAATTAAAGCGACATCGAAATCTGTTTTAATCTGTTTAAAGAGTCCGTAACGGTACCAATGTATCTGCAACAGATGTGTATTTCGACATCAAATGTCTCTTTAGCAATGCCCAAGACCAAAATTGAAAAAAAAACTTACTTAAAGAAATAAGATCTTGTAAACTACAAGGGACAAAAAGTATAGTTTTGAATAATTTTCATATACATGAATGGGTTAACAAACATGAAATTTAGTTTAGAATTTAAGTTTTTTCTCATAAAATACACTTTTTAATGAATGATTATCATGCGCATGTAACTGTTTCATATATATAATATGCATAAATTTGGGAAATGATAAGTGGGGTATTTCATGTTGTTTTTTTTTTGTGAAAGATTTTCATATGTTTCTAAAAGATGTGTTATTCTTTAAATTATTTCGATCATATAATTAATTGTACAGTATTGATATATAATGAGAGTTTACTATCATGATCATGTCAATGATTTGATTTTTGGTGTTTTATTGCCACGTTTAAGCACCGCATTTAGGCTATTTCGTGGCGGCCAGTTTTTATTGGTGGAGGAAGCCCGGAGAAAACCACCGACCTTTGATAGGAAAACTGACACTCCTAGTCAATTAAGATTGGAGTCGAAAGCACCTGCACGAGCGGGGTTCGAACTCACAACCTCAGTGCTGACTTGCTAGTAATTACAGTAGTAAGTACTTAGACCACTCGGCCACCCAGGCCCATCATGTCAATGAGTCTCATTACAAACTTTTGATCGCATGTATAGGGGAGTTTACAAAACATGTCCATAAGGTCTCATTGATATTGTGGAATCATTTAATCTCGTTGGTACCAATTTGATTTCGTGGTTTTCCTTAAGTCTATAGAAAATTTGTATTTCGTTAAACATTTCAATTCGTGGTTTACCTTTACCCACATAATCCACACGAATTTGTATCTCACGAATAAGAATGAATCCATAACATGTTAAGGTGATTGTTGAAAATTGATGATTTAGGATAATCATAATCAGTAAAAATACCAGGTGCTCATTAAGAATGTCAACTAGGTGTATATACTGAAACCTCATGACTCTAAAACTGAATATTTTGTTCCAATCAGCCGATGTTTGGATTACACGTGTGCAATCATTAAAGATTTATTACAGACAAAAGTTAGCAGTTGGCAGGTGTTAAGGTATAAAGCTTTCGCTGAATGTATGAATTATTATCAACTTCAAAGATGCATATACATTTACCCTTGTCCACCATGCATTCATCTGTTAGTACGTATGCTCATTCGAGTAATGCTAATCCAGCCGATTTATCCATGTTTTGCGTTAACCGTCAAACGTGAATAACGGTTAGTGTAAACAAGTTAAAGCATGACTCACCATCAAAAAGTACTAATAGACAAAACAGTAGTTCCAGATGAAGGTAAATATAGAAAAGCGCTTCAGATGCATGAAATTTTAAAAACGTGTTGTTTTCTTTTTTTACCCGTAGTAGTTCGTGTTGTTCATTTTTTAGTTTTTATTTTGTTTTGCTTTTTTATAACCAAGAGACGAAAATCAAAATGATACAAAAATAAAATCAGATAAAAAGATGGTATGTATCAATATGTATTTAGTATTAAAATAATCCAACAATGTTTGGAATGGTCTTCAATTTCGTAATTAGTTAAGACTTCCTCTGGTAAATGGAGCCTCGCTGATAAGTCTAATGTAGATCAAATGCGCATCTAACTTATAAAATTAAAAACCTGCTATCTCCGCTTAGTTTGTATTTTAGTTTTGATTAAAACCCTAAGTCAAAAAGGTGATTCGAACCGATGCAATCTTATATCGACCAAAACACATTTTTCAGACCGTTTGAGATATGAAAATACAAAACTGAGACACGATATTTCAAAAAAATATGTTTATTATCATAATGCCATTAATGTAGTCAATGTCCTCAATCCTACATCCTTCTTTATTCATGTTTTTTAACTCTAGCCGCAAAACCAGGTTCAACCCACCATTTTTTCTTAAAATGTCCTGTACCAAGTCAAGAAAATGCTAGTTGCTGTCTTATAGTTCGTTTCTGTGGGTGTTTCATTGTCGTTTTGGTTTTTTGTTGCACTTCAGTGTTTTCGTTGTTTTCCTCTTATACTTGATGCGTTTATCTCAGTTTTAGTTTGTAACCCGGATTTTTTTTTCTCTTAATCGATTTATTACTTTCGAACAGCGGTATACCATTGTTGCCTTTATTCAACATGTTTGAAAACCCATGTTTTCAAATCAGCTTTATCCCTATACCATGTATACGTTACATGTTGGGATCAAGAATTTAATCCGTAAATATGTGTCGTGGGTTCTTGATATTGGTAAAGTTAAGCCTTAACTTACACATAATTCAAATTGCAACGGTATTACTGTGGACCTTAACATTGTAAACAAGAATTCTTTATGAAATGTGTTAAATACAAATTTAGAACACAAGGAATTCGGAAAAGGACTATGTATGACAATGGATAAAACGGGCATAGGACGACACTATCAACAATTGAGTATTGTGTACGGTTTTTAATTCAATTTGAAATGAAAAAAATAATTTAATTGGTGTACTAGTATAAACATGATTAATGCTTTAGATCATTGTTTCTCAAATATGTAATTTGTACTATGTGTGATAGTTGTCCCATTTACAATCATACCACATCTTATGTCTTACAACCACTCGTTAATCTTTCTTTAAATACCTACATGTGGATCAGCTTTTGTCCCAACTACATGTCAAATCCGTTGTTGATCCCGCAGACAAAGCTCGAAACTAGGGTGGCCTTGTTTGTAAATCACTTTGAATTACTAGAACTGATTCATAATTGATTAAGAAATGAACTGTTCACTCCAAACAGAGATGCCAAAGACACCACAGAGGTATTCAAACTCATATTATAGTGTGTGTCTTTCTATGTTGGGATGTTCCACTATTGTTTCAGGTAAGGGTGAAGGTTGGTACCTATTAAATTGTTGAAACCCGATACATTTGTTTGCACTTACTAGTTATTTTTGGGACCTTTTATAGCTTGCTGCTCGGTGTGAGCCAAGGATCCGTGTTGAAGACCGTATTTTGACTTATAATGATTTAATTTTACAAAATATGACCTGGATGGATGGTTGTCTCATTGGCACTCATATCACATCGTCCTATATCTATCATCAGC